TCGCCGGTGGGCGCGGCGGAAGCAGACGGCACGCCGCCATCGGTCTCTGGCGCGTGCGACGGAGCGCCCTGCTGCGCCTGGCCGTCACCCACCTGTCCCGCCGTGGCCGCACCGTCTGCGGGGGGCGAAGGCTCTCGTTGCCGCTCAGAAGTCTGCGCACCGACGGCCTGCTCAGTTGCGCCTGGGCGAGGAGCACCAGCCGCAGCCGGCGCTGACAACGGTGGGGACGCCAATGCACCGTCACTGTCTTCGGTCACTTCCTCCAGCTCCTTCTTTTCTTTTTCACCCTCCGCCTTTTCTTCTTCCTCTGCGCCGGAGTTGGGCGTGGGGTTAGAAGGTGTTGACGCCTCGCCTGCTTCTCGGTCTGTTCCCTGCGATAACTGAGTAGCCGCTTCTTTTTCCTCTTGTTGGTGTTGTTCCTCCGACTGGCTGTGGAGGGAGTCCCCAGTGGGCTCTGAAGCGACCTCCACGTCGCTGCTCGGCGGCGCAGCTCCCGGGTCCGGCACTCCTGCGTCTTCCTCCCGCGGTGCCGGGCCCCCAGCAGATCCCGCTTCCGCTTCTTGCGACTGTTCGTCCTCAACTTTCGGGGTCCCGGTTGCATGCGGCGGTGCATTTACCGGCTGCTGAGGAGAGGCATTTGCACCGCCACTCCCCAACACCGCCGGCAAATGCTCCTCACGCACCGATACCTCATCAGCAGCACCGTCCTCTTTTTCCTGCGGACCTTCCGTGCGCTCGCCGTCCTCCGTTTGCTGCTCACCGCGGCCGTCTTCAAGCTTCGCTTCGGGAACAGGCTCCCCGCCCTCAGAGGTGGGCACCGGAGGAGCCGCCTGCAGCTCGCGGCTTTCTTTCCCGGCAGATGGTCCTCCAAGAGCCACTTTGCTCCCTGCGAGCTTTCGGATCTCGTCACCAGTGAGTGCTTCGTTGTACAACAGGGCGCTGGCCACCGTCACGTGGTGGCTGGTCTTCGTGCCCGCGGCCGCACTGCCGTCGCCAACGTAAAAGTGCGAGATCCTGTGCGGAGTGAAGAGTTTCTCCACCGCCTCTGCGGCGTCTTCGCCGTTGTATATCTCGTCTCCGTCGACGTACACAGACAACTCATCGCCAGTATCCATCTGCAAGATCACTTGGTAGGCTGTGCCTGGTTCCCACGTCACATCACCAGTTGACAAACTCCGGCTCTTACCGCCGACCGTCACTTTCCACTTCTTGTCCTGCGTGTACGTCACGCCCAGGAGCACGGTGCCGGCCGTGTCATTCATGCTCACGCCCAGCAACGGCGTGTCCTCCTCCGGCACCGTGTGGATCATCACCGACGCCACAAGCGTGAATCCGTTGTTTGCAAAGTAGTACGGCTGGTTCTGCCCCCTGCTTCCCACAGGCCACTCCGCCCCCGCTCCGGCGCCACTGAAAGTCACACCTCCCTTCTCGCTTGTCGCCGCCCCACCTTTCACAGTCGCGTTCACGCCGCGGTACTCGTCCACCCACGCAGTCCCGGCCAGTGTGTTGGACAAAAGGCCCACCAGCCCTCTGGTGGGGACAGGGCCGTTGCACACACCATTTATCCGCGTGCCAACGGCGGCAGAGGAAGTGCAGCTTTGCAAGGCGGCGTCCATTTCCTTCCAGGTCTGCACCACGGACTTGATCTGCTCCAGCTGCTTTGCCAGGCTCAGAGATACGAAGCCGTAAGAGTCCCCATTCTTCTTCTCGTACAGTAGTATCAACTCCTCCACCGACGCACCGCTTCTGTACAGCAGGGAACTGGCAGCGGCGTCATCCGCTTCTCGTGACACCGGTCCGACATCGTGCACGCGGGAATTGTCGGTCAACCAAAGATGCAGCGCTCCCTTTGCGGCGCCTTCCTCCTCTTCCGAGTACACCGGCGTGGTGAGGAGGATCACCTTTTTTCCCTCGATTTCCGCCGTGATGAAGCCGCCCTGCACGCCGTCCCCTCCTTGACGTTTCGGCGAGGTGCCCCACACGCGGGAAATCGGCGCACCGCCTAACCAATCTACCCCATACACAGTGGACTCGTAGACGTCGTAGGAGCCT